GTCTTGTATACATCACCAAAAACATGATCCATGAAATAAAGAATTGATAAGTTGGACTTCATTAAAATTAAAAATTTCTGTTTTGCAAGACACCATTAAGAGAATAAAAAGACAAGCCAAGTTCTGGAAGAAAATATTTGCAAAGTACAAGCTTGATAAATACATGTTTAGTAATCTAAGCATACAAAGAACTCTTAAAACTCAATGGTAAGGAAACAAACAATGCAATTAAAAATAGGAAAAAAAGGGCCTGGCGAATTAGCTCATTGTTAGAGTGTGCTGCTGGTAATACTGAGGTCAAGGGTTCATATCCCTAACTGACCAGCTATCAAAAATAAAAAAAAAAGGTAAACGAGCCAAAGAGACACCTCACCAGATAAGATACACAGATGACAAATAAGCATATGAAAAGATGTTCATCGTATGTTGTTAGGGAATTATAAGTTAAAATAACAGTCCGATACAAGTACACTACCATTCAAATAGATAAAATCCAAAATAATGACACCACCAAATTCTAGCAAGGATGAGGTTAAAGCAACAGGAACTCTCATTCATTATGGGTGGGAATAAACAATATCATACAGCCAGGCCTCAATTGTACTTCTCAGTATATACCCAAAGGAGTTGAAAACCTATTTTCATATAATAATATGTATACAAATGCTAACAAGCAGTTTTATTCATAATTGCCAAATTAAAAGCAAGCAAGATGTTTTTTCAAAGGGTGAATGGTTAAATAAAAACTGTGGCACATTCATACAATGGACCATAAGTCAGTAATAAAAAGAAATGAACTACCAAGAAAAAAAAGAATCATAAAGGAATATTGCTCAGTGAAGGAAGCCAATTTGAAAAGGCTACATAATGTATGATTCCAACTTTAAGACATTCTGGAAAAGACAAAGCTACAGTGACAGTAAAATGGTCTAGTTGCCATGGATTAGGGGGAAGGAACATCAAGGATTTTGGGGGCACTGAAACTGTGGGGTATGATACTGTGATGATAGACACGTCATTACACATTTCTCAAAACGTATACCATGCACAGCACAAAGAGTGAACCCTTATTTAAACTACAGACTTTAATAGTAATGCATCAATATCAGTTCACCAGTTGTAACAAATTTACTAAAACAATGCAAGATGCTAAAAATGGGGGAAATGGTGAGAGGGAGGGGGGATATGTGAGCACTCTCTGTAATTTCTTTTTTTTTTTTTTCTTTTCTTTTCGTGGCTGGCCTTCTTTGTCATTTCAGATCAATTTTTCTGTAACCCAATGCTACAAAAAATTAAGTCTAGTAATTAAAAAATAAATACTTTTTTCTTTTTGTAGAAGCCAAAAGCTCAAATCCAAGGTAGAGAAGAAAGGAGGTAAAAGAATAAGCAGGAGATACACCCTGGACTTTCAGGAGTCTGATGTATCGAGGCCAAGGCAAATTTCTGTTCCACACATGAGTCTTCATTCAGTATGACTTCCAATAAACTGTTCCCTTCCTCACTCCTTGGAGGAAGTGAAATAGGACATAGATTTTCTATAATCTCATATGGCGGTGATCAACTGAAACCCAGAGGAGAAGGCCAATTTATAGAAATTGCATCTGTTTCATTGAATGGCTGGAATCAGGGGTCTGAAAAGAATACTCTACTCTTTGATGTGTGAACTTGCCTAAAAATGACAAACTACATTGCCTGTACAAATGGTATCTTTTCAAAGGTAAAGGTGTTCTAGAGAGGCCTGCTTTAGGAGACCTCTGTAGAGGCCCGCCAGAAGGTGACCTGAGCACATATTTAAGCTGCATCAAACACATTTATTGGTATCTCTGTCTATTTATTTAGGCACTTATTTTATCTTCTGTCTATTCTGTCATTGAGTTGGCATTTCTATCATTCTTGTTTGTTTATTGTTTCTATGTTTACTGAATTAACTTTTATTAGACTTTCTTATTTGTCCTTCAAAGGTGGCTTCTGGGAGTTGGGCCTCTTTTGCCTTTTGGACCAATTCTCATCCCCAAGCCAGCTGGTGAAGGTCTCAGCCTCTGTTAATCCTTTGCCTGGTGGTGTCTTTCTAAGTACCAATCACCTCCTTTTGATCATAGCTTAGTTCTCAGATTGAAGATAAGACAATTTGACAATTCTGTCTGGCCTTTTACATGAGCCTGAAACTAGCACAAATTAAAAACATCTACTAGGCTGATTTGCTGATTGCTAAACAATGTGATCCTCAAACATCCCTTCCCCCAACTGTATGTTATTCACAAATTAAGCATTTAGTGTGGGAAATAAATCAGGGAGGTATAGGAGCCTCGCAGGAGACAAGCACAGCACAGGCCCTTTCCAAAGAAGCTTCCCAGGAAGCTGAGTGAGCAGACCTGCCAGGAATTGGGAGCTTCACCTGCTGGAATGCAAAGAACACCTTTGGCCTTCTGCCATTTTGGCTCCTCCCAAAGCAGGAGGGATGGGTGGGTGATGGCAGGGACACAGCCCCTACCATGTGCCCTTGGTTTTGTCACTTCCTTCCTTGTGACCTCTCAGGACCTGACCACTTATCTCTCCCTAATACTGTGCTATGGGAAGTCCTGACGTGAGACCATTAACAAAGACTGCGATCTCGCCCACACCCAGTGGTAGCCTTCAAGTGGTGGAGTTCTGCCCAAAGGACCTCGGTCTTACATTAGCCTTTGGTCTCTTCCATTTCATCTGTGGTCTCCCCTAACTGTGAGTGCTATCCCATCTCTTCATGTTGCTCCCTCCTAGACTGCTCTGTTCTAAGCTCCAAAAAGCTACTTTCAGATTCAGCCAGGGATTTGGTTGCACTTTCTTTTATGGTTTATTAAGGCTTAAGGAAGATGTAGTAGAGGCCAAAGGCATGAAGAAGACCCAGGTTCCTAGTTGCAGAAACCCAGGGCTAGGCTCCACAGATGACTGAAATGCAGGGGCTCAACCTGGGTGTTTCTTCCACCACTGTGGATCTGTGAAAAATCTGACCTGGGATAGACCTATGCAAGGACCTTACTTGTGTTGGACTCATCATGTCAGGGCCTCCCTTGCCAGACCATACTCAAGTTCACTGTTGACTGGCATTCTAGTTATTATTGTGGGACTCCACAGAGGATAGGAGGAGATTGGTATATAGAAAAGCTTTTTTCACTCGCAGCCCTCAAAGGAGCCAGAAAGAAAAGTAGGAACTACTACCATCTCCCTTTAATATTGTACCCAAGTTGCTCTTCTACTTTTCCAGCACACATTACGACCATGAAAGCCATTACTGTCAGCATGTGCAACACTTTGAAATATTTTTAAACAATACTGCTGCATTTTATTTATTTATTTATTTTTATTGGTTACATATATTCATGGAGTACAAAGCAAATTGTCACCACGCATGCCTAGATGTGATGGCCAGGTCCATATTGGCAGCATGCCCATTACCACAAATTGTGATTACACCCCTGGTCCTCCTCTCAATTATCCCAATTATCCCTGACCTCCCTCCCCATCCCCCTTTCCCCACTCCAGTTTGTATCCCTAGGTATGCTCTCTCCTTCTGCAAGTCCAAGTTGCAATCCACTGCTGTGGATTTCTTTCCTTTCTTCTTTGTCTATTTATTTTCTGTTTCTTCTTTCTCTGTTTTCTCTATTTATTTTCTTCTTTCTTTTTTTTATTTTAGATCCCACTTATGAAAGAGAACATACAGTATTTATCCCTCTGTGCTTTGCTTTTTTCACTCAAAGTAAGTTTCTCCAACCTCATTCATGTTGTTGCACATGGGATAATTTCATTCTTTTTCATAGCAGAGTAGTATTCCATGGTGTATATATACCACAGTTTCCTTATTATTTCTGCATTTTACACAAACCCATCCAGTCAGTACAGACACTGAAAGCAAGGCTCTGTTTCCTCTGAGAGGCTTTGAACCTGGAGCAAAGTTGTCTCTTCCCCTACTTCTCCTACAGCCTGCTTCTCCTACAGGGAGATGGCAGGAGACTGCTCAGTAGACACCAGGGCCCTGCTGGGAACAGAGCAGAGCCATAGGGGGACAGCACAATAGAGAAGGGAGGACCACAAGTTGGATTTAACGGTTGTCATGGAGAAGAGAGCGAGACACAAACCTGAGGTTTGCCGTGTGATGAAATTCAGGGAGCCCTTAGCTGGAAAGGGCTGTCACCTAGCCTGGCCACTTGTAATTTTGCTAGTGACTAACAGCTCTACACAAACTTCAGTGAATGAATGGATTGCAAAAGATGCCTGGGTACTTCTCAGCTTAGAAAACTCTACCCACCTGCCCCCAACCAGGGACTGACCTCAGTCTACCAGACCCGGTCCCTGGGAGTAAGCTACTGAAGCCCGAGGCATGGTTACTCCATGTGTCTTACACACCACCTTTCCCAAAGCCTGGACTCCTTGCCACCAAGTGTCACTGCAGGTCTGAAAGTTTACACAGCTTTCCCATCCTCCAGGAGTCAGACATACAAGATAACTCTCTCTCTTGCTCTCCTTGCCTATAGCAGCAAGTTTTTTTTTTTTTTTTCCTTTTTTAATCTTTTTTACTGGCCGGCAACGGGATCACAACCCTCGGTGTTGCGCCCGAACCGTGCTCAACCAGTGAGTGGGAACCGGTCTCCACATGGGATCCGAACCCTTGGCGGGAGCGCCACCGCGCTCCCAATGGGCGCACTCTCCAGTGCGCCACCAGGCGGCCCTATAGCAGTAAGTTTACCTTCAACGAGTTGAGCCCAGTTTACAACGTGAAGGGTGACCGTGTGCAGATAGGGAGGTAGCGGAGGACTGGGAAGAGTGTCTTCAACTGCCCCTGGGCTGAAGTTCTTCTCAGAACTCAGGCTTGGCCCTTAGCTCATGGGCCTGGTGGAAGCCACCATCAACCACCTCACCTATAGTCCCTGTGATGTGCATACATATACACCCAGACATCACCAACCAGGGTGGCCACCTATCAGGTCAACTGCTCAAGTTTGTGCCCAAATTGTCCTCTGGCAAAGATAAGCCCAAGCTGTGAGAAAAGAGGCCAGGAAAGAGCCCATATTCGCGATGACAGGCAGCACAGCGTTGAGAGCCGAGGCATGAGGGACCGCATTATACAGGCCGACCTAAAAGACTGGTAAGTGCAGGAGAGGGGTTGGCACCAAGACAAAGAGGGAGGAGACAGCCGAGGAAGTTTACCAAAAGATGAGGAAATGCACAGCAGCAGCTCGAGTGAGTAGCTAGAACTGGTCTAACATACCACCTTTAGCGCACCTAGGGAGGTTGCAGACTCCGTCTGGGGTCTGAGGTCTGGACTGATTGAGTCTTCCCAACACTCTTCATTCATCCAGACACCCTCTGCTCCCTGCCCGTCTCTGAGCCCCAACAAAGGTAGTTGTACTTTCTTAGGGTGAGAGCACAGTTCTTGTGGAGCTTCTATCTGGGCCCGCATAGCTTAGATCAACAGCTATATTTAAAGCAGCTGTAAATTGAATATTTCTAAAATGTCCATAAACTAATAAAATTAAACTCCTTAAACTTTAACTGTGCTAGGGACAACCCACCCCCCCAAAAAAAACCAAAAACCCCCAAACAACAAAACACACACACACACACACACACACACACACACACACACACACACACACACACAAAACTATTCTTGCAGAAGAATTATGCTGAAGTGTTTTAAAAATCCAAATTCACATAATTTAGGTAGAATTTTTTTCAAATGATACTAAATATTTTGGTTTAGTAAAAACAACTTGGTATTTTCTGATTAACTGGTATTAAGTATAACACAAGCACATTTTTGTTCTACTTGGTACATTCTTCCATGTTTACTCATAAAATTATTTCTGTTTATTGTTTAAGATTACAAATAAGTATATTGATGTTTAACCAAATTGAATCATTATAATGACAAACTTTTATTTCAACAATAAGCACATTTTGTAATATGTAATGTAGACTATTATTTCCCCAGATATTTAGTAATTTAAAGTGTTACACTGATATGAAAATGAGCCCATTAATGAACATTCATTAAATTCCTAAATTATTTCTGAGACAGAGTACTGAAACATTGGTTATTAAGCATAATTTTAAGTTTATAGACATTTACTTCTGCTTTTTATATACCACAGAGAGTCTATATTTTGAGTCTGTTTATACTGATGTTCATATGTCCCACTCTGAGAAACTGTAAATGGGAAGTTTACAACCACGTACTTTGTAGTTGTAGAAAGTTACATTCCCAGGCTTACTCAGATGGGTACAGGGGCCAGCACTTAGCAGGCTGGTAGGCCCTCAAAAGCTTTTATGGAAGCTGGTTAATGGGCTTCTGGCTTCCTTTGATGAAAGGCACTGAAGTGCATCTGGTTATGATTACAGGGAAGGAGAAAGGTCTTTCTTGGGCAAGATCAGTCAACTGGCTCTGACTTCCTTTTGGCAGAGCTCCCAATTCTCTCAGGCTCCTAATCCCTGCCCCTGGCTCTGATGGACCCAGACCCCTAGAAATAAAGCAAACGTACTATTTCTTTTTTTTAGAAAATTATAACCATAGCATTTCCTTTCTCCTTTTTCATGTAGCTTATATAACTGTTTTCCCACAAAAGAGTCATTGTTAAGCAAGTTCCATATCAGTAGTACTAAAACCATGATGATTGAGGGAAAAAATTAATGTTAAAATAATGTGACTGCCTGAGAACATCATTAGCCAACACAAGATTCTGTATTTATGTCTGCATGAGACTCCACGTGCACACAAAAATCTCTGGTAGAATCAGATGTGTGAAATACAGTTCATGGTTTTGGAAATAATTATGTTTTCTTTATGTTTACTTTGACTGAGTCCTGTTGGTTGTTATTATCTATTTTTAGCACCACTACTGTTTTTAAAGAGAAAACGCTTTCAGTATGTAGGGTCTTCCTCTATCTATGAGGCTTTCATTGTAGACGCAGGCTCATGTGCATTCTTCCAATAGATCTGGCAGTTTTGGCATGGACAGCCTCAAGTTGGCATTTCAAGAGACTACTGCATCTCATTGGTAGTACTACTACTATATGGTACTACTACTATAAATAATAGATGATAATAATAATAATAAAAGGCATGAAACAAATGCCTCCTTCCTAAGTAAATCCAAATTTTTCTTAATAAAATCCATAACTAGAAATAAGCTTTTCAAGAGATAATTACAATATGGCAATGTAGGAAAAAATTGTGCTACATTGGAAAACTATGCTTGTTTAGGGAGCATAGATAACAACTTTCTGGGTTATCTAATTTTGAGAAATATATCACCCTTTTCACTGACTCTCCCATACATGCTATGTCAAACTTAGATGAACAAGACTGAGTTAGAGATACTTCAGGAGTTCAAAGCAGGGAATATACCACTATCTATGCTTCACACTAACAGAAGCATAATCGGAAAGCCACTTTGAATTGATATTCATCAGGTTTTCTTCTCCTTTACATGAGGTTTGACAAAATTGAGAGTCACTTTTTCCTTCCATTTAATTCCCAACTCTACAAAAGGATTTTTTTTCCCCCTCAGTTTTCCACTGGAAACATTTAAGAATCTTTTCATTTATTTCCCATGCTTTCATAACATTTAGGAAGTTATCACAGTACTTCAGAAACTTAATTTGAAGGGATATGAAAGAATAAGAGTTTCAAAATATTAGATTGCCTTGAATTCTCTTTATCTTTTACAGTCCTACACGAATTTGCAAAAGAACTGACTTTTGTTGTTTTTTTTAAAAAAATCACCAAAAGACTGTTGTCTCTAGGATAAGAGAACAAAGCACTGATCACACTGAAATGGAGATGTCAGGCCATGTTTATTTTTTTTGTCTTTTGTCTTTTTCTGTGTCCGGCAACGGATCGCAACCCTCAGTGTTGCCCCCATACCGGACCGGGACCAGCAACGAGATCGCAACCCTCGGTGTTGCTCCCGCGCCTCGCTCAGCCAGTGAGCAGGAACCGGTCTGTATGTGGGATCTGAACCCTCGGGCGGGAGCGCCGCCGCACTTCCCAAGCGGCGCACTTATCCAGTGCGCCACCGGGCCAGCCCTCAGGCCATGTTTATAAAGTGCTTTAACATATTCTTTCTTGAGGTCTTCAGAATCCTATGTTAAGTGGACAGGATGGGGGTATTGTTGCCATATAACAGATTCAGAAACTCCCTAAGTAGGTTTTAGTAAGCTAGGATTCCTTATTGAACTGGGGCTAGAAACCAAGTAAAACCCACCTCCTGTTGCCCATACCTGCCCTGAAGGTCAGTGCCAATTAGTAAATGCTGTACCCTTTTCTGAGATTTTTTCTGCTGGGATACAACCACACTCTCAGCTGAAGCAGCCTGAAAACTGCAGGGACTTTCTGTTACAATCCTCTGTTCACTTACTTTACCTTGTCAATTCTAGCTCTAAGCCTGGAAGAATAATTTTTAATCCTGGCCACTGATGTCTGGCCAGGATTAAAGAGTTTTTGGACTTGTGATCCTAGATGATAGTAGGTTAGACAACAGGATTAATCCAGGTAGGTGGGGAATTCATGTAGATATTATTCCCATGTGAGGTAGGAGAAGGGGCTTCCCTCACTTAGGCTATGTGTATTCTCCTTCCTCCTGTTTCCGAATTTTGCCCAGATGTATGGTCCTGAATATCAGTCCATCTTCATGGACGAGACACAATGCAGGATAATAGAAGGCATGCCACATTGCAGAGTCCTGAGAAAGAAATGCTCTCATTGACAGTCCAGTTTCATGGTTTGGTTTGGTCTTTGATTTTGTGATTGGAAGGTGTGAGTATTCAAACCCTTGACCATGGTGTTACAGTTTCATAAGTTTTAGCAAGTGTTTATTCCCAGTTCTGTGGAATGAAAAGCCACAACTCCAGGAGAAAGTCACTAACAACCATTTAACCTCTGGCTAACACTGCAGTACCTACCTTGGGCTTTTAGTTTGCAGAAAACCAGTGTGTTCTACCTTGAGGGACACAGGAGTGTGATGGAGTTTGGATGTGTTGTCCACTCCAAAACTCATGTGGAAATCTGATCCCCAATGTGGCAGTGTTGGAAACTGATTTAGTCTTGGTGTAGATCCCTCATGAATGGATTCATGCTCTCCCAGGGGAGGGAGGATTAATGAGTGAGTTCTTGCTCTATTAGTTCATGTGAGAGCTTCTCTCTCTTGCTTCCTCTAGCTGTGTGATCTGCTTGTACCTGCCAGCTGCTTGCCACTTTCTGCCACAAGTAGAAGCAGCCTGAGGTGTTGGGAGCCTGAAGCCCCACACCCCTTCTTGTGAGACCACTCCTACGTGACAATCT